CCCCAAAACCCCAAAACCCCAAAACCCCAAAACCCCGCTTAGTCATCTATTCATTGATTATTGTTTTAATAATAATAATATTAATGAAAGGCAAAAAGGGCGGTCGAAGACATCGCAGTAATAGCAATATATCCAATGGATCAAACAATGAGAGACTCTCTCACAAAGAAGCTTTGATGAAGAAATACGATGTCATCACAATGAAAATGGCAAATAATATTTGAGTCTCTGAGCTTCCAATCATAAAAGGAGAGGAAGAGAAGTCTCCTGACACTTCTACTACTTCAGGACCTCCAAAGGGTTTGAACAACATGGGAAATACATGTTTCCTTAACTCCACTTTGCAATGTTTGTTGCATACTATTCCATTAAGGAACTATTTGCTGTCTCAGATCCATAGCAAATAAGTGTAAAGTAAAGAGGAACTGAGCGTTCTGATTTCTTGAACAGTTCATGATAGAATACGAAGGTGGTAGGAAACGCCACTTAACTCCCAAGAATATCGTCAATAATCTCAAGAAGAGTTGGAAGCAATATAGATTTGGCCGCCAAGAAGATGCTCATGAATTTTTAGTAATGTTTCTACAAGGTATACTTAGAGCTTCATTCGGGAACTCTCCAAAACTTGCAAAGAAATATGAGCAGTTAACAATGATCTACAGAGTGTTTGCAGGAAAATTAAGAAGCCAGGTTAAATGTCTAAGCTGTGCTTATTGCTCCAATTCGTATGAGCCGTTCCTAGCATTAAGTCTTGACGTGTCCAAATCTCAAACATTTGAGGAGTGTATTAGAAACTTTTGAAAATCTGAGTTCTTAGATGGACAGAATAAGTACAAGTGAGGAGGCTGCAACAAGCTCTCTAAAGCCAGCAAGAAGATGACTATCTTTCAGCCTCCAAGAATTCTCATGCTTCAGTTCCTTCGGTTCACTTATACAGGTAAAAAGATAGGAAAGCATATTAAGTTCCCTAAGAACTTTAATTTAAGAGCGTTTGTCTCTGAAAATGTTGATTCAAAGGCGCCGAAAGAAGAACAAACCAGTCATGTTTATTCCCTCTACGGTGTTATCGTTCATGCAGGTAGATCTACCAGAGCCGGACATTACTACTCATTTGTTAAGAGAAACAATAAGTGGTATATGTGCAACGATGATTCTATTTCAGAAGTGAGAAATATTGACCAAGTGCTAAAGCAAAATGCCTATATGCTAATCTATCAATACCGCATTAGAGATGGGAAAAAGACAAAGAAGAAGCAAGTAGCAGAGAAAGCCTCAGCTCCTAAACCAGCTGCTCCAGTCATCCCAACTCCTGCTCTCGATCTTAACCTATCTAGAACCAAATCTCTCTCAGCCGAGATTATGGAAAGCCATACGAAGAAAAATAACGGAGAAATGCCCCTTAGTGGCTTCTTCGAGGGAAAAGAAGATGTCAATTCAGACGAAGAGGAAGAGAAGCTTGTCGCTAAAGAGCCAATGACTGAAAAGGAAAAACAAAAATTCACAGAACTTGATTACATAATGGACAATTTTGAAGACGTAAATTTTGATGATATTAAGAACCTTGATATCATGAAAAACTTAAGCATTGTCAGCCTTAATGATGAAATTGTTACCCCAGAACTGAAGACATATATCTCTAGGACCATTATGAAGCAGAAGGCTGAGAGGATGGAGCAAGCTCTTCCATTAAACCCGACTCAGAGTACTTCCTCTACAGCTCCAGGTAATTCTCAAAATAACCAAGAAGCTCCGAAACTGAAAAAGATTGCTCAACCTCCACTATTCGACACTCCAGAGCCAGAGAAGGAGAAACCTGCCAAATTCGCTGAAGAGCCAGAGCCAGATTCCATACTAAAATCAGAGACAGACATAAAGAAATACCTAAGCAAGAAGAGAGACCTCAAAGCTCAAAGAAAGAAACAGAGTAAGCTCCTTTCCAAGACTATTTAAATACCTGTATCATAATTACAACATTCCCCAGAAAGGATTTTGGTCATGCTCAACTTCCTCTCTCGCTTTTAAGGAACTCACTCTAAAAATCCCTTTTAGAAGCAGCAGCAAATAGTCAAAAGCAGGCCTCAGACCCAACGAATACTGCAAGAAAAGGGTCGGATAAATACAAAGGTAAAAATGGAGCGAGAAAAAGAGGGAAAAGAGCTCAGAAAGCAGCCAAAATACCTCAGAAATCGAAGAAAGCACAGACAAATACTCAGGGAAAGTTCGATACTTTAGTTCAGAAGATCCTTAATGCAAAATAAGCTATGAAAAGATGTAAGCTGTTGGTTTAGAACTAATTTCAGTTTGAGTTAGTATTAATGGGGTTTTGGGGTTTTGGGGTTTTGGGGTTTTGGGG